ACCTCAACTGTACCACCACACCCAATGTATCAAAACAAGCTGTGGGAAGAAGGCACTTGTGATAAGTATCAGCACTCACCTTAATTCTATGGGATCAACTCCAGCTATGGAAGGAGGGCACTTTATTGTATATAGTATGAATAATTACTCAACTCAACTTGACTATCAATCTCCACAGGCCTTATGGCAGTTGCAGGAGAAGGGTATGTGAGAGATACATCATAGGTGTGTATGAAGATCTCACCCCAACTCTAACCATCACATTCTATGGGACTTCCACCAGCTGCAGAAGAAGAGCATATTTTTTATATGGTAAGGACCAGTATTGAGTGTGACCATCACGGCTCTACTAAACAGACAGTGGCAGCAGGAGGGGGATATCTAAAATACAAATATTTATTGATTCTGTATAGTGAGTGCTCATCTCTACTCAAATTAATATAGGTCAGTTTATCTGCCATAGAAGGGCACTGTATTATGCAGCATCGGTCCCTATGTTGTGAGTGCACTCCTCCCACAACTCTACTGAACAGGCTCAGGCTGCAGGAGGAGGGCATGTGTGGCAAGGTTGATGTATCTGAGTTATATGTGGGGTTACCTGCACTATACTAATGGTGTTACCACACCCCAGGAATAGAGATTTGATCATACAAGTTACTAGAGGTTTGATAGGATCCCATTTAAGAGATTAGAGAACCAAAGTAACATTCCAGTCAGGCAGAGTGAAGTATGAGAAGGATCTATGGATAAGAAAGTAACAGAAAAAGAGTATAAAGGACTAGTGAATAAATTATCCTGTGGAATCTGTATAGGCCGAAGGTGATAAAAATACCACCCTATAGCCCATGATGAAAGAGACAGACAAGCCACAGTTGAACAGACACATGAAGGAGGAGATAACATATTATAATGCACATCAGTCAGATGACAGAGAGACCGGTGGTGATACATACATCATGTACTTTGTTACACAAAAGAGAAATAAAGATGACAAGTGGGACAAAAAGAAAGCCACACATGATTGGAGGGAATGACTCAATGAGTGATGCACATGTGAAAATGAAAGGATGTCATTATTTGATGAAAGAGTAGCATGTGAGGTTTCATCAGAAGGGATAGTATATTGGGGGGGGGGGGGGGTTCTAGAGTGATATGATAGTCGTCTGAGAGGT